CGGCTTCTGATCATCTAGCAGAATTCTTAACTCATAACCATAAAGACTTTGTTTTAATCCAAGAACCCTATTGTATCGAAGGGAAAGTAAGTAGCATTCCAACGTCTTGGAATGTCTTTCAATATTCTCCTCAGTCCCCCAATCAACATCCCAGAGCAGCTATCATCAGTTTTAATCATAGCTGGCACCCAATTCTAATTACAGCCAAAAGAGACCTAGTTACAATCAGTCTTAATAGTTCCAACTCTCAACTTCTTATTTCAAGTATTTATGCATCTCCCTCCGAGGATATTTCTCCTTTGCTTCATGATTTAGAATCCATCTTGTCCTTTCCTTCCGAGGTCCACACATAATTTGTGGAGACTTCAATTCACACAACCAGCTTTGGGGCTACAATTCCACAAGTCCAAGAGGAAGGTCCCTTGAGGAATTCTTCAATTCACATAATCTTGTCATTCATAACCAAGCCTCGGATTTACCTTCTTTCGAAACAATGTATGGGAGAGGGTGGCCAGATCTCGTAGTTACTTCCCATCACCTAATTAATTCGATTTCAAATCGCAAAATTGAAGAAGACAACTCCCACTCAGATCATATAAATATATTACTTTTGAAATCAAAGAGAACTCAGAATCAGTTTTAATGAAACGTTTTAAAATTACTAAAAAGAAAGAAAAGAACTTTATTAAGCAAATTCAACAATCCGCATTTCCAATGACTTCTTCCTTCCAACTAAGTGCAACAAAAGAAGATCTAAATAAAGCTACAGAAGATTTTATAAAAAAAATCCAAGAAATATGTGAAAATACCTTTCCAATACGATCTGCAAAACCTTACTTTCATATAAATTGGTGGACTAAAGAGTTACGCGCTCGCTCAGAAGCATAAGGCGAGAGCATTGAAACGGAAAATTAAACTGATTACTGACGATGAATTAAGACACCAAGCCTGGCTCAAATTCAAAAAAAAAAAAAAAGAAAATGCAAACTACAAAAAGATGATTCTCGAATCTAAATTAAAAGCTGGCATTGGCACAAATATTGTTCAAACAATAAAGAAATTTATGGCACCTTATACAAGATCGCCAGTAGTAAAATATTTAAACCGTCTCAAATCCAACTTCCCTCAAATTTGCTTTCAAGTTCTGCTGAAATTCAGGATGCCACTCTCTCAACCCTAAATGAGATTCTTGACTCTGTCTTTCTAAAAGATGATCCAGCTGAAGATTCGCCTACTCAAACCAGAATCCGTAACTGCGATGACATTCCACAAACAGACAACGATATTCCGTTCTCAAAACAAACAAGAAATAAAGCAAATAATTAAAAACCTTTAAAAAAGGCACCAGGCCCAGATGGCATCGATAACCACATTATAAAATTAATCAATCAAGCCCATCCTGACATAATCTGTAGTTTTTGCAATCGATGTATATAGAACTCTCTACCTTTCCTGATTGCCTGAAAATTGGTATAATATATACTCTTCAATAAGAAGAATAAAAGCTCCGATGAACCTAAATCTATCGTCCGATAAATCTTCTCCCAGCCCTGGGAAAAGTTTTGGAAAGATGTCTTATTGGTCGTCTAAAATTTCATGTTTACAGCAAAAACTTAATAAGCAATAACCAGTTTGGATTTCGAAGCCTACTTTCAACAAGTCAATGCAATTGCAGCTCTTGAACAAGTCAGAACACAATAAAATCAACCAACTTCATTCTGCAATAATATGTCTCGACTTAAAATCAGCTTTTGATTCTTTATGGTGGCCAGCAGTTTTACAAGCGCTGCGTTCCTTTAAGTGCCCTCAAAATTTATTTCTAATTATTCAAGATTACTTCAGAAACAGGAAAAGTATGATTCTTTACAACAACACTGAAATTGTGCGTAATCAAGTCCGAGGATGTCCTCAGGGGTCTTGCATGAGTGCAGATCTCTGGAATATCAGCTTCAACAACATCATTTGCCTATCCATGGCCAGATCACTCAAAAATTGTAGCTTTTGCAGATGATGTAGCTTTTATTACAAGTGGCCGTACCAGAGACATTTTACAGAATAATTGCAACGAAACACTCCAGTTATTTAACCAACTTTGCAAAATTCAAAAACTACAAATTTCACATAGTAAGTCCCAAGTCTTAGTGATCCATAAACCAGGACAAAAATATAACTAAAGCTTTAGCTCTAAAAATTGACAATCAAAAGATCAAATCTGTGAACACAATCAAGTACCTCGGTTTAACAATCGACAAGAAAAAATTCTCCTGGATTCCTCATCTACAAAATATTAAACTTCGTACAACATCAATAGCTAACTGCCTACGACGTATGCATGGATATAACTGGGGCTTAAATCCCATATAACACGTATTCTTCTAAAAACAGTCATCTCAAAAATGGTAAATTACGGAGCCGGAATTTGGGCACAACCAATGACATGTAAAAGAAAGAAAGATTAAATGTTTAAATTCAATTCAAAGGCCTTTTACTCTTTGCATTACTCGGGCGTATCGCACAACTTCAAATAAATATAGCACTTGATACTCTAGCTGGTACTCTTCCGTTATCAATCAGTGCAGAAATGGATGGAATGCACCTATACGAAAGTTCTTCCAACTTAACCAAGCCGCAGAATTCAACAACCAAACCTTTTGGCCATCCAACTATGAAAAGAAAATTAACCCCAATCTTATCCATCCAGCGCTTCGCTTCAGCAAAATAATATTCACCACGTCTGAAGAAAAAAGAAAATTCAAGTTCATCTCCAATTGCTTATACTGATGGATCAAAAATTGAAGGAAAAGTTGGTTCCGCAGTCTTTTTTCAAATTACCCCCTCAAATATCATCAAATGAAAAAGCCATCTCCATAATAATAATAGTATTTTCCAAGCGGAATTATCAGCTATAAAAGCAGCGATTGAAATAGCCATTCTAAAAAATCTCAATGAATTTAGCATAAAATCTGACTCCCAGGCAGCTATTCTAGCTATTAAAAATCCCCTTACCTTCCTCTCCATTGATATCCGACATAATAAATTCTCTTCTTGGAAAAATCCCAAACTACAAAATTCAAATTCATCATGGATCAAAGGACATAGTGGCCATTTTGGTAATGATCAGGCAGATGAACTAGCCAAAGAAGCAGCTATTAATCAAGATGGTACTGAAATCATCATTCCGTGGCCTCGCTCGAATTTCAAGTACCAACTAAAACAACTTGCTTCAAAATCTTGGCTTGGCAAGATTTGTGGAACAATGCTCCACAGGGAAGACGCACATATAACTTGATGCCCAATGTAAGCTTAGCATCTCTGAACTCGAATCCTTCCCTAAATTACTTTATAACAGGACATGGACCCTTCCCCACATATTTCTACGCAAGAAATTTGGCAAATTCTGACATCTGCATATGTGGGGAACAGGGAACTCCTGATCACTACGTTTTCTCATGCCCCTTAACTGAGGATATTCACATAAAATTCCCAAGAACTGACCTCCTGGCATTCCAAAGATTTTTAATTAAAGATAAACATCAATATCCAAAGTTTCAGAAAATTATGCAACGACTCTCTTCCTACGGCGTAGATCTCTGTCAAGTGTAAATCCACATACAGTTTAAACTTAGTGAACTTTTACATGCTGTAATTATGGACAAAATGGATCCGCTCGTGAACTGAACTTTATAAACTGCAATAAACCAATATATCTGAAATAACCCATGGACACCTACCTCTTTAGCATTATTATAACAATTCATTTAACATTGTGTGTTGCCAGTACTAATTATAATTATCTCATTATGTTTTTATTTGTTTATTTTATTATGTTTATCTCCTATTTTTGTTGCACCAAATCAGATGTTCAATTTATCTTGTGAATCTCAAATTTGTATTCCTACTATTTTGTAATCTACTTATGCCCTACACCATTATTTTTAATAAATACTGGATGCGGGGCGTACTGTGGAATTGCGCACGATGTACCATAATAGGCAAACTTTAGACCTTTTGAAAAGCTTCAGTTTATGCAAATTCTTTATAAAACTTGCAATTACCCCCTCCTTTTTTTTTTTTTTTTTTCTCAAAGAGTTAGTATGGGAAGGCATTATCAGTTGACCTATGGTACATCGTTGGTGTCCCCCATACTTTTACCTTTACCTTTACCCTGTATTACATCAGTTTGCACGTTTCACACATTTTACGTTAATTTACGCACGTTAAAAGTTTGAAAATGAATGCAGTTTTTGTTCTTACTACTCACTTATGTTTTTCCTTTCGTGTTATGCATTTCATTGACGCAGAGTTTTCTTTAATTTGCAAGTTGTTTCTGTAATTTCATAGCGAACTATTGCACACAGAGGTATAAATATAATGTTTTCCTACCCAAACTGACTCCATGCAATTCATTTCCAAATAAATCATAATATATGTCAAAATTATTACAGAAAAGTAGAATATTAATAATTTTGCTACAGTTATTTTCTTTTCTGAAGAAAATGCTGAATATATAAGGTTTTTTTTTTAATGCAAACTACATGAATTCATGAACATTTATTTTAAATGTATCCATTTTTTCTGAAGATACAGTAATTATCACAAAGAAAACATTTTGCGTCTTTGTTTTTACATCCAAAATCTCTTTTATATATTTTTATAATGTATAAGATATTATCACGACTGGTTAGCTATAATAGTCATTTATAGCAGGAAAAATAGATAATATCATTCTCAGTGAGTATTTAAAATATAAATCAGATTACATAAATGAATACATAAAATTAGAATTAGAATACATCAGAAGTAGTCAATGTCAGCACAGATGAGAAAGCTGCTTACGAAATCTTTCATGTCTGCCTGAAACTAATAACTTTAACAACCTGAAACTAATAAACCTAGAAGTAACTGTCTTACTTCTCGGTTTGAATTTAAACTAAATATTGCACTCAAATTTTCTTCGTTTCCAAAAATAACAAGCTGATATTATTTTATTTTTAGCTGTCAGGGAAAGGCAATCGTGCCCGGATCCAGGATTTATTTCTGATGGGGAAAGGGCGCATGGTGATGGATCCTCAGCATCTTATCCTGAAACTTTTCAAGAAGGATCAACAGTCGTCTACTCTTGTACTCGACGTGGTACATTTCTTGAAGGCCGCCCTATGCTGACTTGCTTGCCAGATGGTTCATGGTCATTCCCACTCCCTCGTTGTGTGAGACCTTCAGGTATATTTCAGTTTTAGCTATTTTTAACAGAGATTTTATGTTCCTAATTCTGCAGTTTCTAAGCAGAATTTAGATATAGATAGTGCACACAAGTTCGTTATCCGTTATTATGCGATTAATATGTTATTACTTAAAATCTAAGTTGTCTAAAATAATTTTGAAACAAATTCCAAAGTTCGAATCCCAGATAAAACATGGACGTTTTTGGACTTTTGCGTTTACTTGATGGAAAAGTACGTAAAATTCGTTGGCAAGCCTTTGCGAGTCATTGCTGGTAGAAGAACAAAGCTACAAGATCCTTGTATATCATCATACCATATAGTCTCATTCTTCTCTTAAGTTGTCTTTAGATCCAGATAGTAATGAATAAAAACATGTTGCCACCAATGTTGTTCAAAGTCTTTGACTAAGGATACTATGCTTCTTTTGTTCGCCCATGGTTATTCATGGGTATATCACTGACCACACATTACAAAATTCTTTATTTAAGATCAAAAGCCTCAGTATTTCGAGAAGGAAACGTTTCTTTAGTCTTTTCATTTTGACTATGAATAAGGAAATAATATTACAAAAGTAACTCATTCAAAACTTAACAATAATGTTGTTGAACTAGAAGTGCTTGCCTTAAAAATGACTTAATTTTATTCTCAACAAAGATGTCTGCTTGCATTAATATCACATCATAATGATTCAGCAGCCGATAGTTCTGTGGTTCGTTTTTGGTAGTCATGTTTTCTATTTTCTTATTACCTTTTGGTAAGCAGTGTCGGTTAAAAAAACACTCGCATTTTTAGATAATTCATCGCAGAATCTTCGTTGCATGTCAGCATGCCATGGTGTTTTTCTCGGAATCTGTACCAGTTAATTCCCAAACTTTTCTCATTGTGGAACGCTTTTTAAGTTCTAAAAATTTTAAGAAACGCTTGAGTAAATTTCGGTTTTTAGTTATAATAAATGATGATACAAATATATTAGTTAAACAAAATAACAAAATAAACATTGGTTATAATTTTTCATATCATACCTATGACAAAAAATGTTTTTCAGGTTAATTTTGGAAAAACAACGCCTCATAAAACTTTTCAGTGAAACAAAAATAGTATTAAAAAGAGGAAACAGTTTCAGTTTTCTACATTTGGATTTTATTTAAAGTGAAAACCTGAATCTTAGTAATATATTGTTGAAAATTGGAGTAAATATGAGTAGCCTATTTTGATAAGCTTCGATGTTCTTCTAAAAAAGTTATTCACAATTCCTTTAACGGATTTTAAAAAAATTTCTTATACTGGAATCAGCTGTCAAATCGATTAATTTTTCGAAATCAGCTGTGGTCATATCTGTCGACTTAGCTCTGGTTGTGAAGGAATTTCGAATCTAAGAACTATCATCATCGTATTGTGGGAAATGTTGATCAAGATTTAATTGCAAGGCATGCAAATATTGCAAGACTTTGTTGTAAACTTCACTGCCGAATTTAAATTCTTTTCACTTAAAAGTTGTCTAACATAAGAAAACAATTAAATTTGTTCTTTTTAAATCAAGAAATTCAGAATATCAACTTTCTTTTAAAAGACGCATTTTTATCCGTTGCATTAAAAACGGAAATGTTTCTTCTTCGAAATGTAATGATAAATTCATTACATTACGTTACATTTTAGAAAACCTTGGGAACTGTATTTATGTGATAAATATTCTCACTAAGTATGTAATACAGTTATTTCACAAAATATAAAGATACCCATTTAAGATTTTGAGTGAAAGGGGAATTAATCGGTAAAGGTATTTTGATATATCAAAGACACCAGAGAGGACTACACTTATTAGTACTTTACAAATTTTAAAGTTAATTAGTTTAGAGATCGATGGCAAGAATGCGATTTTAATTAATCCGTTGTAAGGATTATGTAAATTTTATTAACAGTTAAATTTTAAGTTAAACTTCCTTTCCTATCGCTTCTTAATTCCAACTTACCACTTCCGGCCAGAACGTAGTTTTAGAATCACGTCTGAATGCTAATGAGCGGTATTTAACCGCGAAGTTCTATTGTCTTAGTAAGAGAGATACCAGATATTCTGGTTGCACGCTTCCGCCTTTTTAGGCTACTCTTTCGTAAGCTATTATTACGCTTGACCGTACTTTAGGCGTTTGATAGCTTCGCAGTCAGTTAGCGTTAAGGGGCCAACTCTGTTAGAATTTTGATAGCTTCGGCTATATCTCTTTAGTTAAGATTAGTTTAGTTTAATTCTTAGTTTCTTAAGTTGAAGCCCAAGTGTTGGCTTTATTGTACAACTCCAAGACGGAGTTCTGTTAAATCTTGATTGGAATAATAAAGGGTTATTTACCGTTCTATCTTGTTGTTTCCTGTTACACAAATTCAAGTGATTATTCGCTTATCAGTTCTTAAGATTCTTCACTTTCAACGGTAACTTAGAATTACACAGTGGAGAATCCTACACCGTCACCGGAAGTAGTTTTATATTTTTTTTATATTCATATTTAATTATTTCTTTTAAGTTCAATTTTACTACTTAACAAGCACGGGAAAAAAAAAAAAAAAAAAAAAAAAAAAAAAACTGTCCAAGATATTTAATTTAAAACCTTGGAAAATTTAGCTGTATATTTTCTTTTGCTTTTTTTAGCTCTTCTTCACAGGTGGGTTTAAAATTAAATTAGAATAATTCGAGGTTTCGGTTTTCTCCTTTTGTTGCCCTTTAGTGATATTCTTTTGTGATTTACGAATGTGTCACGTGCCTTAATTTATAGTTCTGTTACATTCGGTGTACTGAAAGCGCTTTCATATAAGTAATTTATAAATTTTAAAATATGAAAAATACATTTAATAATATTCGCACGAAGTTTTATTACATTAGGATCATTATTTGATAATCACACAAGATAAAAAGGAAAGAAAAAGAAAGGTGAGGGAAGCTAGAAATAATTTTCATTTTTTCATTTTTAATTTATGCAAATAGTGTTATTGGTTGGCACTGTGCCAGCACTAATGCTTGTCATTGTTTTCTAAAACGCGAACTCGATAAGATTCTGTAATTAAATCTCGTTTTTGAAATATATATATATATATACCGATCAAAACTTTTTCACGACTGTCTACATATCAGTACTTCTCACTTAATCTGTTAACATCAAAGACTTTTTTTCAACCGATATTTTTGTTAGTTATGCACAAACTTTAAGTTTATTTTTTTCAATTTGCTTCAGACCCCTGAATTTTCAGTAAAATTATATTTACTATAGCTTCACAACTACTTAGTCATTTCTTATCGTAAGTCAAACTTCTTGAGTTTCATTTTTTAAATGAGTGAGCATTTTTGCTTCATTACGTACATTATATGGACCAGGAGATGGTATAAAAATTTAGGGTTCACAAATTTTATAAAATTCATGTTTAAAATTTAAAAATACCATAACATTCATATTTTTCTTATTTAAAGTATTTTTGCTACTGGAAACAATCGTCTGCTACCAACGGTTGCGAAAATAAAGGCTGCGTTAAGACTTTCATTTGCACACTTTATAATACATTACATACTCATTTAAGAATTACATCTGAAGCCTTCAACTAATATTATATCTCATAGCAAATTTCTACTAAAACGTTCTACGCAGTAAGGTAATTTTGGCATGAACTAACTTTCATATTTCTATCACGTGACTGCGGTCTTGTATGTACATTACATGCAATAAAATTAAATTTCGTGTGTGCATCTTTTACTTCCAACTGTGCATTAATTAATATGCAAACATTAATATGTTCAGCAATGGTTTGGATTCAGATTGCTGTCTGAATGTTATCTAAGAGAACGAGAGCGATGACGTAGGCAGCCCTTTCAAATAAGTAGTTTGCACTAACCTAATATTCCTAAACCACATATTATTGCGATTCTATATTTTCTTAGAATAATCTATTTTCCTTTTTTCCAGAAACCTGTCGTTGCCAAAATGGTGGCAGCTGTGACGAGCGTGGAAACTGCATATGCCCTCCACGAAGGACAGGAATTTACTGCGAAACCAGTAATAAAACTTACTATTTAATTCTAAAAATGTCATTTACCTTATTCTTGGTTTTGTTAAAGAATACTGAAATGCATTGTAAATTTATTTAGAATGCATTTCAGTATTTTCAGTTATTTAGAATGCTGAAACGCATTGTAAATTAACCCTAGAATGCATTACAGAGGTTGTCTATTACCCCAATATTTTTTTAATTTGGCATTTGTCTTATCATTCAAAGTTAGGTAGAACCAAACATCTTTTGAAAACATTTTCACATCTTTTGAAAAGAATTTTTTAAATACTTACATTATGATATAACTGCTTTTAAAATGAAGTAGCCAACTTCCTCATGTATCTACTCTTGAGTGTCAAAATTCCATATCCACTCTAGAGTTAACTAAATGTTTGCTTAGCAACATATTTTGAAACTAATTTCCTCTCATCATTTTTAAGTGACTGATTGTGTTTTTAATTATTTCTTGAAAAATACTTCATTAACTGTCATTAATTTAAATTAGTAACTGTCAAAGTGTTTTTTGACTCGCATTAATGTTCCCATTCCATAAAATATAATTTATGTTAAGAAAATACTTTTATAGATGATCTGAATATTAATATTTTATAACTGTAATAATCATTTACAACGCATTGCTTTGAGGAAAGATTGTGCATCTTTCATCGAAATAACAATGTGAGGGAACAGGAATTTTTTTAATTTAAATACGAAGAAAATCTTCTTCGCCACTCATTTTAACATTGGATTAATTTGTCAACTTGATGTGTGAATGAGAAAAAACAAATTTTGTTTGAGAAATATCGAATTTAATTAAGCGATTCTAATAAATATTGTTTAAATTAGTAATACTGGGAAATATGAGCTTTTCCTCTTTCATCAACTTCGAGCTGAAATTATTCATGGAATTGTAACAAAATTAGCTCTTCTTAAAACTTTTTATATTATTTTTATTCCTAATTACGTATATTCTCAATTTTTGCATGTATACTTGTGTGCAAGATTAAGAGAATTTGCATATTGTATCGGATTTCTGAAAACCTAATGGAGAGATTTTAAGGAAATTTAGTATGAATATACATAGATAACAGGAAAAAGAGATGTAACAATTCAAAAGTCATTATATTTGCACATGACTATCAGTAAAGCTTACAGTGCAGGGACGTCCAAAATCTACGTTGGGATATCGAACTGCAAATGACTCTAATATGGGGTGTGGTCCCCTCTCACAACAGCAGACATGTCACGAAATACCACAGCATATTAGATAGAGGCAGCTGAGACTTCCTTGTGACAGTCTGTCCCATTTCTGCAGCAAGGCAGCTTACAATTACGGGATGCTTTTTGAAGGGAAATAGCGAAATGAATTTGCCCTCCCAAGAGTTTCCAAGGCATATTCTGTAAGAATGTGGAATCTATAGGGTGTGTCGTCATCCATTAGAAGAGATCATGACCATCTGCACCCCTGAAAAGTCGAATCATAGGGCTGTAAGATCTGCTCTCTATAAATCATAGCGGTAAAAGTTTACAGTTGGGTGCTCCTTGTTTTCTTTTTTTTTTTTTTTTTTTTTCCAATTCATTTTTGATGCTAAGATCGGCGTCAGAAAGGCACAATTTCAAGATGGCCGCTACACAAAACCCAAATAAGAAGCTAAAGAATTGCACAAACTCGGTGTCTTTGTACATATCGATCTATTTTCACTTAAAAAAATTATTGCACAAACTACATATTGCGCACTGTTTTGACTTTGTCCATGCTCGTACATCCTGATCTATTTTCACTTAAAAAAATCAGGAAGCTAAAAACTACCATGGTAACCAGAAATTGGGTTTCATCGCCAAAACGGAACAAAATTTGTCTCTAATCGAAGGGGCACCCACTTCTACACTAAAGCCATTATAACAATCATGGAGGAACACATGCAGGGATGTACGACCGTCCAACATAATGTTTGCCCAAATCATTACAACTCTAACACTGTAATGATACTTTTATCTGATGAAGGAGTGATGATGCTGTGTTCCACACTTTCTCCAGATACAGAAACCGAGAATCAGTGTCCAGGTTGAATCTAGGCTCATCTGTGCATCATGCTAAAAGCGCTGTCTTGTCTGCTGCAGTAAGCGGGACTCAAACATCGAATCTTCTAGCATACAACCCTGTCTCATGAAACCTTCGAGTAACTGTAGACCGTGAAACTTGGGCTCCAGTGGCAGCATACAGCTTATGTGAGAAGTATGAAGCTGTAGAAGTACTGTGTCGAGGAGCAGAAAGTGCCAAATAACGATCCTCTTTCATCACTGTGGGTCTTGGTCAATATCGTCCAGGTCTTCTCTATATGGATCCAGTGTCCTGAAAGTGTTTACAGAAATTCTAAACGACAGTGGGAGCATTTCATTGAACTCTGCAACCATCTACGCGTGTGAATGGCTTGTCACCAATCTACTGGCAATTCTCCATCTCATTCGGTCATCCATCCGTTCATGATTCATCATTTAACCTGATACCTTATAATATTCACTCAACTCTTGCGAGAAACACGGCGAATGTCGTAGTGGACTATGAGCACAGAAATTCTCGGAAAACCCCTCGGAGCTTCACAACTCCCTTCACAATCACGGGCACGTATACGCTTATGCATTCGACTGGGAATATTTGTATAATTTATTGGCAGCATAATTAGTTCCTTTAGTTCAATACATTTTGTAAAAATATCCATAATGTGCAAATGCTCTTAATTTTGCACTCGAGTGTATAATACTTATGCTAAAGGCTAGAAGCTGCGTTATAAAAATCAAGGAATAAAAGTTATGAAATAATTAATGCAAGTGATAATAGTTAATGCACAGAGCTATAATGAAAGAAGTCGAAGTTAATTTAGAGCAGGGGTTATGAACCTCTTTTGCCTCATGCACGATACACCCCTTTAATTATTGCTAGACATTCATTTTCTCCTCCTTTCCAAAACTCGAAAAATGCATGAACAGTAATTTAGGTTTAGTTTATTTTTTAATGTGTTTTATAAATCATTTGAGGAAAAGATAGAAAATGTTAATTCGAATAGAAGTAATTTTTTATATTCATAAAATAAAATTAAATATTTAAAAGTTAAATAAGAGGCTGATTGCATTCCCCTCCTGAAACTATGAAATCCCCGCTGGTTTAAAACCCCTGATTTAGAGTTTTCAAATGTATAATTTAAGATTACATATTGCAGACATATAGATGAACAATTAGCCTTTTTTAGTTATTATTACCACTGGGTTATTTTTACTGCTAATTTTCTGGCGCATTGCAGTATGAATGATCATATGCTTCTGTAAAGTGAATGGATTTACCCCACACATTAAAAAATTACTTCAGATAATAGCAAAGAAACATCATAGAGCAACAAATGTGAGATTAGGGATTTTGCATGAATTCAAATGAATGTAGTGTATTGGAAACGGCTGCTAATATCGTAACAACATCATAAAGAAGGGAATGATGTATCATCAGATGAATGTATCGACATCATGAGTATCGATACACGTACTATTTTAAAAGTAGAAGAAAAGCGACCTTAGTTTAGCGTAACCGTAAATTTTACGTTGGTACGTTTCTCTACTATTTGGTTTTCTGTATAGCGTTTTCGAAGTTCGCTACGGGTGGCTGACACCCACCAAGTCTGGAAACAGTATCTGATTGGGTGTGACATATTACAGCAAAAGCATGTAAGAGTTCAATGTGTTTAATTATGGTTTCATAAGCGACAACAGCTGGTTGCAGTTATGGAAAAGTTTAAAATTGGATACCTGGGTTCTACTCGAACTCACGGATCATACTTGTAGAAAGTGAGAATAGAAAGTTGATACCATACTATCTTAATAAAAGGGGAAAGCCGAAACGATTGTATGTACCTGAGTTTCATCCAGAAAAGCTTCTGATCTTCGTGTGGTGGACTGGTGAAACTGTGGAACATTAATGAGATTTGTGACATGGTGAAACATTTACAACTGATATGCATTGTCATCAACTAATACCAGAAACTGTATATCAAACAACTATCACTTGTCAATAGTTTAGCGCTCCACATTTTCGCAAAGTAGAGAATAACCATATGTATTTTTCTAAAGGGGTAAAAATAAGGGTAAAAATAAGCCTTAGGATAGAGATCCTCTTTTACCTTGCATATTCAACAGACTTGGCTCCATCATAGTAATTCGTACTTTAGCACATCATATTAGTGCTAAGTAGATCGTATGCTTTGATATTTAGACTATTTTTTTTAAAGCAAACGCTTTGGCGATTAGAATGTTGTTATTCAAGCTTTTTTCAAACCAATACGTGCATTCTTCCACAGTGGAATTTCCTCACTGAAGCTTGTTGGTTAGCCTCACTGAAAGCTTGTTGGTTACAGTCTCTTGTTCTCGACAAGACATAATTTTATAAATAAAATTCGTTTCTTCGCTTGTTATTAATGTTTGTTTACTTCTGTCAAAACCGTCAATAATTATGAAATAGCCTAATAAAATTTAAATATGCAACGCAATTTAATATTGTTACGAAATGTACAGACACGCTAAGATGGCTTCCCCGCAAAGCAGTTTTAGGGTTGCCATAAAATAGCAAGAAAAGACATGGTTTCCACATTTGGCGAAAAATCGCCCTTTTGGCGATATTTGGCGACAAAATTGGCGATACCCCATGGACGGATGGAGAACCTTCTGGAACGAATTCTTACCGGTTTAGCCCAGAATACGCAAAAACACAAGCCGAAAGCTGTATAAAACCTGCTGGTCCGCAGTCAGGGAGAGTGCCTTGTCGAGAGGACGAGAGCGAGTGCCTTGTCGAGAGGGCGAGTCAGTGTGTGTCTCGCATAGAGTGCGAGATAGTTAGTATCGAGTTGGTGTCTTGTCTAGCGAGTCAACCCCTGCGGAGTCGATCGAGTTGACAGTTGGGCAGCGAGTGCCGAGTGGGTCGTTGAGTACACCAAAAGAGTCTCGTAGTGTATCGCGGTTAGTGCATCGTCGAGAGAGAAGCGTGTTGAGCTCCAGAAAACGACGACTGAACCGAAAAGTCGAAAGCTGTGCTCTGAGTGTCGTCGAGTGCATCGCGAGCTTTAGCGTGGAGAGTCTCGAGAGTACGTGGAGTTCCGAGAACGACCGAGCAGAGTCTGGAGTTGTACTCTAGTGCTTTGCCGTGAAGCTGTCTCCACCGTGATAGCCTGTTAACCTGGAGGCTATGTCGCTGATCGTGTCAGCGTCAGTAGTTCATCGACGACTGTAAAAAGTATTATTGGAGCTTCCCTGATTAACGTTGGCTAAATAAAGTGTGTTTCGATACTTCATCAAGTAGTATTGTCATTATTCACTCCAAATACTCACGAACCTCGTACGAATGTGAAGAAAGAAAAATATCGTAACAACTGACGCGAGAAAAGAAACACGCAACAATATATAGTGAATTTTATTTTTCCTTTTACTGGCGACCAACATTTTCTGTACAAATAATTAAGTAAGGCAGAGCCAAGCATTGTTCTATTGACCGAGATTTTATTAGATGTTTGATTACGCGTAAAAGTATTCTTGAAGTATTTGATTTTCGATGCATTTCATTCTTGTAGTAGTGCGAGAAAGACAGTCATGTCCGGATCCTGGATTTGTTTCTGAAGGGGACAGAATGAACAGTGATGGAACTCCAGCAGCTTATGCCAGAAGTTTCCGGGAAGGGGAGTCGGTTGTCTACTCTTGCAATCGGCCAGGATATGCTCTCCAAGGTTCCAGTCTTTTGACTTGTCTGTCAGATGGCACGTGGTCTGCTTCACGACCTCGCTGCGTACGTCCTTCAGGTTATTTTATTTTTAATTTTTTATATTTTTAAAATTAATCACTTACCTCGATTTAAATTTATTTCCCTCTCTGTCTGCAAATAGTTAGTTAAATGTATATCATCTTAAATCTATGCAATTGCATTTGCTCGCCTTGACTTGAACATCCCCAAGATGAGTTAAATGAGTTAAGCCAACTAAGTTAAACCCTTTCTTCTGCTCAGTAGATCATATTTCTTCTATATGTGTAATGGTCTCAAAAGATAGAACTCTTATAGTAAACTTTAAATATCTTCCCTTTATCAGATAATCAACTAAACTGACAGTGGTTTGATGATGTTCTACTTTTTCATTTAACTGCTAATTCGAGCACCGTGATTCTACTTTTTAATTATTCAAATAGCATAAAGCTGACAACGAATAAATATATCACATTAGAAGCATGCTTTTTATTTACATTTTCTATATTGAATATTACACACACGCAAGAATGCTAAAAGAAAATTTTTAATAAAGCATAAATATTGGGAGAAAAAAAAGAGATAAAATTGGCTATCATTTCTCTAAAATAAAAAAATACTTTTAATTAGTTAACATTAAAAATTTTAACTTTTCTTTATTTTCCTTTAAACCTTAATTCGGTAAATTTGTATCATTACTCGACAAATAAATTTCAGTTTAATGTCCAGATAGATGTTATGGATGCTGATTAGCAATCCATTTCCTTTTTTCCCTTTGATTTAGTTGTAGTTAAAAATATGTATTTATATCTTTCCTTAATGAGAAATGCACGTAGTACAGTATTTAAAAGAAAGAAAGAAAAAGTAAAGAAAGAATGACGTCATTCTATTACCAATTGATATAAATTTTCGCTATAACTGAAATATTTAATTTGTTTCCTAATTGAAGTGTCACTTATACATTTCTCATTTAGTTAACGTTTCATCTGTGAGTTTTTCTTATTCATGGTCATAACCAAATATTTCATTTATACGACACGTAATTTCAGTTATACATTTTGCCATTAATTCTTTCCCATATATTTCTTTATACAATTTTAACAGACTCTCCGGCAGTCTTTAGAAAGTTGTATGTGAGCATAAAGGAGGAAACTAGCTGTGAGGTATCTCAAATCTCTAAAAGACTGAAAATCCAATTAATAAATAGATGAGTCGTTATTCGCTTGCAGGAATAAGTAAAATAAACAAGACAGTCGATTGAAAGGCAGTTTTGCTTATAGGTTGAGTCTCAATATTGAGGCCCCACATCAACTGCATTTAATCATACAGCTGTTTCTCCTTTGTAGTGTTCTCTTCATTATTAACTTGTTCCGAGAATGAAAAGTGCTGTTATTAAAAAGGAAAATTTCAAAAGAATGACAAGAATACAGGATTGATAAAAACTGAATATTCGGATGAAAGTATTTTATTCCCTTGTCGGCACTGGAAACTACTGTTTCTGGAAGAAGGAAAATAAAAGAATTAGCAGATGATTGTGCAAGTACAGTTAGAACTTGGCGAATACCAGAATTTCACAACTGATTGTGTCCCACAGAGCTAACTGTGCAGTTCTGCCCAGTTTTGATGAAGAACATCCCGGGAAACTCGAGGAGATCCGAACCCGTGGGATGATAAAATGACTCTCCCTTCTCTCGTTTTTTACAATAAAACCACTCTAGACAACTTTTGGCTCATCAGTATTTTACGTCCTCCATAGAGCGCAGAATACACGGACAAATATCGAGTGCCTTCGCTGGGATTCCAACCTTTGCCCACAGATATGGCAGTCAGTATGGCTAACCATTACACCAATTAGGTTTGTAGCTGTGGTTAGCAAAAAGTCATTTTTAAAGAAGATGCATATCCAAGAGGAAAACCACCAAAGTTAAGGATATTTCCTGAAGTTTTTCACACAGTGCCGCGCATCAACTATTCTACTAAACAGGCGCATGATAATGGAGAAGGCAAAATATATTAGGAGACGGCAATATCTTGAAAAAAGGCAAGATATTTAAAGGTGGTAAGATGGTAATATTCCAGAATTTCTTTAACCCTTTCCGGCACGCTACCTTTTAAAGTTAGAGTTTTGATTTAAAAAAAAAAAAAAAAAAAGAAAAAAAGGATAGGCAGTCTCATTAGGCCTAGAGGAGTACACAAGTAAAATTTTGCGAAGATACCACTTATCGTTTCAATTCTGAGGGTGTGCCCAAAGTGGGCACACTGATTGAAATAGAGCTTCGAAAAGAGTACTGAAACGAGCAATGTTGTCAAATGAACTGACCGAAGAAGATGCGGAGACACAAAGAATACAGACTCTCAGTTGTCCTAGATTATCGGTGAGCCCGGCCTGGGCGCACCTAGGGTTCGCCGTTTGATTTTAGGCAAGATTTCAAGGTAAAAATTTAAAACTAATATAGAATAAGGAAATTAGCATACAACCAAGAAAATAACATAGAAATTTAACCTATAAATCCTTTTTTATTCAATTTTTCTGTGCGTACGGATGGAAATTGTTAGGCCAGTCCAGTATGTGTCCAGTATGGACACACTGTGGCGGAAATGGTTAATGTAGTTTAACATGTGCTTCGGACAAAAGGGGTAAATATTCGATTAAAGATATTTTTAACATTAATGAAACCAATCACATATTCCACCACATGCTATGAGAAATGCAGCTATTAAAGACGATTAATGAAATGTCCCTCCCCCCAAATAATGATCGGCTTACTATTTCATTTTGTGCATACGTCGGCAGAACAGAAAAGATCACACCTTGAATAACAGGAAACAATTGAAATCAAGACACTTCAAAAGGGTTCAAAGCTTATACGGAGTGAATAAATATTTGAATTTGTTTTTACAGAACAAATATTAGTGAATATTTCTACAGAATGGTTCAAGAAATGGGCTAAAAGAAGATTAACTAATAAAAACGTTTCTTCCATAATCAGACTATCGCTTACTGACTGACTGAAAGCTAAACTTGAGCTAGAGCTCATTAGAGCTAAAGAGCTCTGATTTTTTTCTGATTCATAGTTCTAGTATTCTGCACAGCTAAAATACATTTATTATATGTTGCACTGCCATTCTGGATTTCGTCTTTTTCAAATGTACTTCGTATTTAGATTGTCTCATGAAAGACGAGTAAACTATGCTTTATTTTATTCATCTATGTCATCGAGCTTAACCTTCATCTGTATGTCTTATGATAACATGTATACATGCACACAAATTAACTCTTAGACTTTTTTTTCAAGTAGTCGGGCAAAATATGTGCCGTAATCCAGGAACCATATCCAATGGTCAGCGACTAAATACTGATGGCAGTCCCTCTGTCGGGACAGAAAGGTATAACTCTGGACAGTCTGTAGTATACACTTGTTTTTCTGGATATGCCCTTGAAGGATCCAGTATACTGTCTTGTTTGTCGTCTGGACAGTGGTCTAGTGCCAGGCCTTATTGCAGACTCATTAGCAGCCCTCCTACTACGACCAGTACTGGTAAGGAAGGATTTCTGAACTATTAAATATATTATTTATATTAAAACAAAGAAATATGTTATTGTCGTTAAGTGACAAATAATTATGAAAATTATAATTGCATTTCCTAAAGCATTTTGTCAACTGAATAACTATTTATTTTTCTGCAGTTATTAACTCGTTAAAGACGATTCGATAAATCGATTGAATAAAGTATTTTCATTGAATGCATTCGCCTACACCTAAGAGCAGTGAAATAATGGAAATTGTGATCATTAATGCTTAGGTGTCTTTGAAAGTTCTACTGTTTACTTTATCATTATTTCCAAACATCTAATTTTGGAATGTAATGCATAATTTATTAGAGTACAGAATTTTGTACTTTTGATTATGCAGAGTCCACAGCTATTTTGCAAGTTCAGAATTACATGAAAAATGAACCATCATAACATAAAATATAATTTTAATATTTAATACGTAATGAACCTCTTGTGGCAACCACCTGCCTAAGACGACCGCTTCCAAAAGGGACCTGTATTTCCAAAAGTATAAGTAAACACTTGCACTGAACATCACCTGTCTAAACGATCCCCTCCGCCGCATACCAAACTCAACTAGAAATGCGGAGGGCCGTCTCCGAAAGGCCTCAATGCATTTTACTCATATTACTTATATCCATTACAATTAGGTAATTTATAAGTTGCTAAGCGATTAAACTGCTGCACACTGGTAGTTCCTCTCGGTTCGATTTATGGCAAAAGCAGCTGGCTTTAAAGCTAAAGTCAGATTTGTAGAGACATTAGGTATTTTTTAGAAGCAGGAAAGATGAAAAATAACAAGCGCCTTCGCCGGGAATCGAACCACGGACCTCTGGAATACCGGCTCAGCGTGCAGAGCCACTACACCACGAATGCACGCTAGGAAGACGGGAGAAATACCTTACAGATTAAATGAATTTAATAATTTATCCTGGTTATTCAGAATTTCAATTTTAAATTTATCACTATTTTTCCAAATTTTTAGCATTAATAACCATGTAAAAGTATAGCCTAAAATTGACCAAATGGAAAGTTTGGTTTGGTTTGCCTGATTATGGCAAAGCCTCGAGAGTTATCTGCCTAAGGGAAGCGATGCCTTCGTAAAGGTATTTCTAAGTGAAACTGGCTACACGTTACACACGGGGAAAATATGAAAACGCCCATGCAGCCAGCTCATTCGCGGGATTTGGACCTCGGAGCGGACTACCAGTGTTCAGCGTCTTTACCGCTCGGCCGCTGATGGGACCAAATGGAGGGTAGTTCACTTCAATTTTGGTTCAAAGGGACTAAACAAGCTACCTCCATAGGATCTGTGTATTTTATGCGTCATTTGGACGATGTGCTGTAATCGCGGAACACTTGGGTTTTCAGATTTTAATGGAAATATCTGATTTGACATGCTCCATCTTGAGATATATATGTACATATGTCGCATTGCTCAAAAATGGTTAGACGTAAGTTGTTGAAGTTTTGTATTTGGGCTTTTTTACTACTTCGGTCTGACGTCTGTACTTAGATACATACGTACGTATATACGTATATACGTATATTATCAAAAACGATTAGCAGTAGAATGTTGAAATTTTGTATAAGGGACTGTTGTAACTTTTAACTGCGCACCTTTTTGTATGTTTTTTTTTTTATTGCAGTCAGTAGTACGCTTTCAAAAGGGCACTTTTAATTGGAACATTGTATCTCACTTTCAATCAAAATGAGTTTAAACGAAGTGTAACAAAAATTGTCAATAATTTAATAAGCATTCAAGGAAGTCATGTGATGTCCACATCAGATTTTTTTTTTCCGAAAATTACTGTGAAGAGGAGGCACTTTCTGTCCACGAATGCATTCCTTCAAAGGAAGACAACTAATGAGTGATTTACCGCAAACAATCTAATTTTTTGCTGCTTCAATAGAAGCAACTAACAGTTATTATGAAGATTTTAATTTTAAATTCGTGTAAAAAATGAATGGAATATATTAGGGACAAAATATCGAAACACATGAAATAAGGTTCTGGAGCTTTTGATAGCATTAAGCTTTACTTACTAAATCTAAAGATAATAAGTAGTTTCATGATAAGAAGCAATTTCTCGTTGAAAGTTTTCCTCTAGTACAGAGGTGGCCAACATTCTGTATGTATATCATCAATTTGTTTTAAATGTGTAGTAACGTTTAAATGTAAATGTGTACCTACTAAAATCTTGACGTTTAACACTGAATTCTAATTTGTATTTTGTATACCAATAACTGACAAAAAGGTAGGAATTATTTAACCAGCATGATACTTGATTAATGACATTTGTTGACAGATTAAATTTTATTTTATAATCTTATCATTAATGGTGAGTCTACATTTGGGTTCCAACCATGTGTTCGTCATTTTATGTATATCCAGACAAAGATAATGGTAATGAATCTTCAGCACGGAAATTAGTAAATAAGGAACAATATTTAGCCTCCGCGAGCTAAATATTGCTCCTTATTTACTAATTTCCGTAGGAAAACACTAATTAACATAAGTATGTAGATCCAAAAGAGGAATAGATATGTTTGATAAATTTGATGATTTGGAGCCATTTTCTCGATAGACGAGTTTGAGATCAGTTGGAGTGCTATAATTTTGTTTTCTAATGCCATTTTTTACTACTGAATGTGTTAGAAATATTTCCCATAATGTTTTTTACACCCTTTTTAAAGGAAAATACAGGTACTACACAATAAATTTAACTTTTTTAAAATCGTGAAATCTGATCTTTAAAATATTTGAATCGTGAAATTTGAAGTCTTTAATCAACTTTTAAATTTCTTCAACAAACTTTACAGTGTTATAACTGCAAAATAATTTATTATATATTAGCATATTAGATTTTGCTTTATATGCACTAATGATCATTTCTATTATTTTCTTGCTTTTTCTTTACAATTCTAGTAATTCGATGATAAAATCTTTAAGAAACGCTATCCTACTTTTATCCTTTCAATTTGCACATCTTTGCTCTTCCAAGAATATTTATAAATTAATAAATCACGAAATAATTCCAGAAATTTACTTCTACTTAGCCACTTTACATCGATATGTAATAATAGTGACGACTATCTTTCGGCATGTTGCAGTTGGTAGGAACACCATTTGAGGAAACTTCCTTCAATTTTTCCCGAATGGAATTAACAGTTTTGACCCCTGTATCCATTATTTCATTTATATAATCTTTTGATAGTTATATTTCTTGGTGAATTATGAAGTGGTAGTTAAAAATGTTAAAGGTTTATCATCGTTTTGGCATAAAATTACAAATTCTTCTTTACAACCTGTCACTGCTTCGATTCCATTTGTTGTTATTGAAACTAATTTACTAAGTGGTAGTGAGGAAGTTTCAAAAACAGCTGAATGTATTTAAACTGGTAGTTATTCTTTTCAAAGAAATCATACCCAACAATTCTTAGTTAGATATTTAATCCTTAAATAAACATACGAATAAAAATACGCGATTGTGCCGTATAACTTATATCTGTCGGAACATTCATTAATGTCTGATGAAGCAAGCCAGAACATTCATTAATGTCATTATGTAATTGTGCTCCTATATTTTCAATTTTTTGATCTCAGTTCGCTGCATCCAACTACTTCGAGACAAATATAGATCTCTATTCGCAGCAGACAAAAAATAAAGACAAATAAATTGTCTTGTTTTTAAAATCATTAAAAAAATTAATCTAACATTTCTCAGAAAGTTTTTTCTATAAATTTTGCGTCAAAAAAAAAAGGCCTTCGTTTTTTACTAGAGTATGGCTTATTTTAAATGATGCAATACTCACTGCATGTTATTTCAAAATGGGCTTTTTAAAAACATTTTGCTGTGCTGTGAATCGAGCCTTAAAATTCCTAATTTACTTTCCTTTCTGTTCAATCTTTTAAGGATTATTCGGTTATGCAAATTCCCAGTATATATTATTGCATACACATGTTTTCACGATAATTCCACTTTTACAGCGAGCCCCGGATCTAATTTAGTTTTCTGCCCCGATCCTGGGACAGATCCTGTATATTGTTGCATAAACACGCCTTCATGACAATTTCTATTTTACAGAGAGCCCCGGATCGGTTACAGCCGAAAACATCGCGGCAAAAACATCGCGGACGAAAACGTCGCGGAGAAAACAACGCAAGGCGAAAAAGTCGTGCTACAAAACATCGTGGGAGATAACATCGCAACGAGAAAACATCGCAGTTCTAAAACATCGTGGTACAAAACATCGTCGTCGAAAATAAAGCTGTTCAAAAACTTCGCAGTTTAAAAACATCGTCGTCGAAAATATCGTGGTAAAAAATAAAGTATCTACAAGATCATCGCATGCCAAACGATAGTACCCATCGCAGATATGCTTTTTTCAGACATGCTTTTCGGAGACATTCTTTAATAACTGTAAATGGATATTCCCATAATGATTTGTGAGCGCAAGATGGAAAGAAGGATAATTTTTACTTTCATATTTTTTTATTAACTAATACATTTTGCTGAGAAAACAAGAAGGAAACTTAAGCATAGAACATTAATGCAACTTATAGCACTTAATAAAATTTTAAACCGACATAGTTAACTAACAAAGGCCATTGAATAAATAATTTTTGTAAAGTGCTTTTACTGGTAATTTTTCATGAAAAGTATAAGCTATAATTTGCATTTAATTATTTATGCTTAAATTTCCTTCTTACTTTTTCAGCAAAAATTTATTAGTTATTTAAAAAATGTGAAAGTAAAAATTATCCTTTTTTACATCTTGCGCTCACAAATCATTACGGGAATATCCATTTACAATTATTAAAACCTTAAAAAAGTATGTCTGCGATGTTATCGTCATGCGATGATTTGTAGACACTTTATTTTTTACCGCGATATTTTCGACGACGATGTTTTTAAACTGCGAAGTTTTTGAACCGCTTTATTTTCGACGACGATGTTTTGTTCCACGATGTTTTAGAACTGCGATGTTTTCTCCCACGATGTTTTGTAGCACGACGTTTTCTCCTTGCGTTGTTTTCTCCGCGACGTTTTCGTCCGCGATGATTTTGCCACGATGTTATCGGCGGACACCCCCGGATCTGATTTAGTTTTCTGCCCCAATCCTAGGACAGATCCTGTATATTGTTGTATGGACAGGTTTTTCACGACAATTCCTATTTTACAGAGAGCCCCGGATCTGATTTAGTTTTCTGGCCCAAACCTAGGACAGATCCTGTATATTGTTGCATAGACACGTTTTCATGACAATTCCTATTTTACAGAAAGCCCCAGGTCAGATTTAGTTTTCTACCGCGATCCTGGGACAGATCCTGTATATTGCTGCATAAACACGTTTTTATGACAATTTCTATTTTACAGAGAGTCCGGGATCTGATTTAGTTTTCTTCCCCATTCCTGGGACAGATCCTGTATATTGTTGCATAGACACGTTTTCATGACAATTTCTATTTTACAGAAAGTCCCGGATCTGATTTAGTTTTCTGCCCCATTCCTAGGACAGATCCTGTATATTGTTGCATAGACACGTTTTCATGACAATTCCTATTTTACAAAAAGCCCCAGGTCAGACTTAGTTTTCTGCCCCAATCCTAGGACAGATCCTGTATATTGTTGCATAAACACGTTTTTATGACAATTTCTATTTTACAGAGAGCCCCAGATCTGATTTAGTTTTCTGCCCCGATCCTGGGACAGATCCTAATGGGGAACGAGAGATTCCTGTATCTGTGGATCGCCGAACAAATACTTTTCCCCAAGGCAGCCAGCTCAGTTATTCCTGCAAAGATGGTTACGAATTACAAGGGGAAGAATTTCTGTTCTGTTTACTGACTGGAGAATGGTCTTCTTCCGCTCCAACATGTGAGCAGATACCTCGTTCATCAGGTTAGTTTAAAAATAAAGTTACATTCGATAGCGTTTGAATCAATATAGATTTAATGTAGTTATTATTTAAAGAATGGATACTTGCATCATAAACTAAAATAATTAATATAATTTCAGTTTTAATCATTTGATAATTGTCAAGTATTCAAAACGTAATTCTATTGAAGCATTTTGCTTAAAGTAATAACAGCTCTATCGTAGAAATGTACTGTACCTGTGTAACAAAATGATTTGTATCTTCTGTTTTTCTATCTTTTATTCATTAGCATTTTAAGTTAGATTCAATATGTTCCAGACATATTTATTGTCTAAACTACAAATAACACGACTTGACTACATTGTTACCTTCACAGTAAATTTCATTCTTTTTTCCATGTCTAAATGAATACCAAATAGTTTTTTTATATCCCGCCACGAAGACATCTCTTACTATAGACAGATAACTCTCACGTTCTTTATTATAATCTAAGTGATTCAGCCTACGTTTGGCACTTTGGTGCATAAATATCTTACAATGCAACGTTTTTCACACTTGGTGAAACTAATAGTGATATTAACTACTGAATATATGTTAACTTTCTTAGCAAAATACGTGAGAGATACTCAGTATTTAAGAATAAAAAAATTCTCATATCGAAATTCAATACCTTCAAAAGGTAGAATATTTACAAAACATACCCATCCAGTCACGTTTTAAATGACTTATTTAATGAACCAAAAAAAAAAATTGCTCAAGACATTTTCCTTCTCTTTTTTTTAATCCTTCGTAACATCTCTTACTATCGTTAATATACTCACTTTTTGTTTGCTTCATTTAAATTTTATGATACATTTATTATAATTTAATTTATTATATATATATATATATATATATATATATATATATATAATATCAAAAAATTTTTTATAAAAACATGATTATTTAAAGTATTTTTGCGAAATATGCTGCTGAAAATTGATCAGTATAGGCACGTACACGTACGTCTTTTTGTCTATACTGATGAATACTTTTTGTCTATACTGATAATTATCAGTCTTACGTTTTGTCTATACTGATAATTGATCAGTGTAGCGAAAGGTAAGACATTTAGAACCCGTTTTACACAAAAACTCAAATAAGTGAAATTCAATACCGATAAATTTCAAAAGATCCTATAAATATGCAAAATAAAAACTAAATAAATATGAAATTAAAACCTAAGCATTATAAAAACCTAAAAATATACCAAAACCAGAAAAATAAATAAAAAAGAGGAACTCAATTAAATCTGATGTAACGTTATCAAGAGGAGGATACATCAGACTCAATTGTAATTTCCCTTCCACTGTAAACCGTTGCGTTTCTATATCCAAAATCAACTGATTGATCCATTCTAAAGTTTTTTACTTGGTAACAGTTCATCCAAAAATTTTGAAGTCCTCCTCGACGTAAGGTAAATTCAATGTCATATCAAGTAAAAAAATAAAATTAGACCTTTTCACTGAATTTGAATAAAAACTTACTTAGAGGACGAAATAGCAATCCGTTAGTGAAAAATAGTAAACACAGCCAATTGAAGAAAATTCCAAATTTGAATAAATTAAATAGTGAATCAGGTTTACGCTATGTAAGATTAAAATTTAAAATTTTTTATTAAAATCTATAATTAGAAATAGAATCTACAAAAAATGAAGAAAGAACACCGTAAACAAGGTAAAAATTTCGAAACACTAATCAGAACCGTTAGATTCATATCAGAAGCCAAGGATTGCCAGTTTGGCTTCATTGATATTTCACATTTCTTTAGTTTTTATTTTGTATATTTATGTTGAAATTTATTGCTATTGAATTTCACTTATTTGAGTCTTTTTTTCTCTTTCTCTCTATGGTTATATATATGTGTGTATCACATGTATTTCATATCATTAATTTGAATAACTTACCAATCTTTTATTTATCTCAGTTTAATTTTATTTAAATACAACTACCCATTGTTAATTTTATTTTTTGTAAATTCATTTATTTATCTTTATCTGCTGACGATCTTCGATAGAGCTTCAGGACTCTTATTTTAGAAGTCAAGCCTTGAAATGAAAGTTCTTGTCTAACTAACTTTAATATTTAAAGAAACAGACCCTGTAAAAGCAATTTGAGACATATTTGAGACACTGTAAAAGCAAAACTCAGAAATATGTGTCTTAACAAACTATATTTTCAAATCCATTGATATGCAAAACAGTAAATACAAATGCATGGTAGTTAATGCTTTGTCTAAAATGCTTTTAAGTAAAATGCTTTGTCTTCAGTGATAATTCTGAGTTTTTGCGCTGTTGCCTATTATTTTGTGATATGGAATTGAATATTTCAGGTTCCGATGGTGAATTGGTATACTGTGAAAATCCTGGCCCAATTTCCAATGGACGTGCGGTTATGTTCTCTGATCTAGACGCACGCCAAAGACCAGAAGAATTGACTGATCCAGAATATCCAGAAGGAACTCGCATCAGATATTCCTGCGAAGAAGGATTTCTTCTGCGAGGAGCATCTACTCTGCTATGTGAAGACACTGGATTTTGGTCTGCGGACCCTCCTTCCTGCTTTGGAGGTACCTTTTAAACGCCACACTTTTTGTTCCGAAGTAATACCAGGAATAATTATAGCAAGAAATATGAGAGGAGGTCTAAGATCCAAAGTCAACATCTAAGCATTTATTACCTAATTCATAGTAATATTCGTTGAGATTTCACAGACTTTATTTTAGCAACTGGAATCAACAAAGGATAGTTACCTTTATTTTAGCAATCGAAATCAAAAGATTCTTGTGAAATGTAATTAGTTGAAGCAAGCCTCATGCATAAAATAAGGATTCTGAAATGATAATTTCATTTAAGTCACTGCGGTCATATCAGCGTTTCAAGCATAGGGTTTTTAAAATTTTTTTTTTCCTACTGATACTTTCAAACTAACAGGTGTTCGCTTTGGGCAATCCTTTCTTGTGAATTGATGATTTTTTAAACTGTTCCAACTAGAATTCTAACATAAATAAGTTTTACTTTTCATAACTGATCTCAACAATAATATTTAATGTCATAATTATAAACCTCCTTATTAATTCTCAATTTTTACAATTAATTTAAATAGATAACTTTGTGACTTAATAATTCATTAAACATTGGATAAGAAGATTTTTGTTTAAAATGTAGATATGGGCTTCAATAAAATATTTTTCTTTTATATTTGTTTTACATATTATATGAAACTGTATTAATAAGAGTTTGATAATAATCACGCATGTGTAGGACATATCATCACATATTTTAAAACTTTTAGGTCTCAATCACATTATGAGTTTCGGCTACGCGGGACTTCGGACGTCGAAAGGGACAATTCTAAGACCCGCACGGTTCCAGGAAACACACGTAGCTAGGTTACCATTCTTACTTACTACAAAGATTTGAACCCCAAACAGTAATCGATTATCTTTCAAATTGAGATCACGTGATCCTTCAGAAGCAGAACTTTCGTCTAGTTGGTTGTCTCTATCCGTGACCCGAGATGTTTTCGGTGAGGTTTGAAAAAATCCCGTGTAGCCGCAACATTGCTTCCGTAACTAGGCAGTGAGTGAGCGCCACCAAGGAAGAATCACCTCCAGCGGGGCTCTTTTTTCTAGGAATTCTCCCGTTTAAACCAGTGCTACCAGAATCTCGTCTCTCAGAAGAATCCCATCTAGCAGGAACTTTAGCCATATATGATAACCTCTTTATTCATATAACCTTTAAGAATTTTGAGGAAAAATATTATTTCAATGTTTCAGAAATTGTGAAACTCTCGCAAAATGAATAGAAAATCAAAGCTGTGAATTCGGAAAGGAATTCATATCATGAGGAATAAAACGATTCAGATTAAATTGGATTGTAAAAGACATTCCAATCATCAAATATAATAGGATTGCAGTTAGCTGGTTGTTATGAATAGAGTGACAAAAACATTGCTGTTTTGATCGGAGTAGATTACTATCATCAATTAATAACAGGCAGACTTAAACGTTTTAAAAATAAACTTATAGATTTTGAAACAATATTTGGATGATGCCTTCAAGGCCGGACTGATTCTAAAGGTAAATTGTTAAACATGGACATTATTGTTGACGATAAATTGATTTCAATACAGTTAAAGTAGTTTGGGGAATTGAACAAGGGAAGGAAATACTAAAATAGATAATGACATTTTAGAGAATTTTTAACAGTACTATCAAATTTAAAGAAAAGAGGTTACGAGGTTAAATTTCTTTGGAATGAAAATTCGTCTGAGTTAAAAACGAATTACTTAAATGCAGAAGCTCGCTTTAATAAACTGGTTAAAAGGCTGAGAAATGATCCACTGCTTCATCAGTAGTATCACTCAGTTATACAACAACAACATTTAAAAGTGGGTATAGCTGAAGAAATTAATCGATTTAATAGGTGGGGATGAAGACGAAAACGAAGCTAAACTCATACATTAAGATAGTAGATATATATTGAAGGCTGCTTGTTTTAACATGCGAAAATGGAAAACAAATTGTACGAATCTGCAGGAAGGTTTTGACGAATACGAAAATGGTGAAATCCAGAAAGTTCTGAAACAGAAGGTATTGGTATATAAATGGTATTACAAGGAAAATCTTTTGAAGATAGACTCACAAAATCTAACTAAACAAGCTCAAGGGTAAATAAAGCTAATGACAAAAAGAGAAAGTACTTAAAACCATTGAAAAGCTTTGCGATCCCATTGGATTTGTAAGTTCATTCACTATTACTGCAATCCGCATTGGATTTGTAAGTTCCATTCACTATTAGGGCAAAAATACTAATGCAGAAAATTTGGCAAATGGGATAGATTTGGGAGGATCCATTGCCATCGGACTTTGAAAACAGGATCAGAAAATAGTGGACTGATGAACTGTCAGTGATCAGGAATATAAACATCTCCGCAACATTTACTTCTCGAAAGACTAATAAGTCTGAATTGAAAGATGTTCCAAATGCATTGCTTTACTCCCCGACGCAGAGTCAATAAGGCATATGGAGCTGTAATATACCTGCGATACGTCACGAAAGACAGTGAAATAGGAAGTAGTTTTTGTCATTTCCAAAACCAGAGTAGCTCCACTGAAGAAGCTGTCCTTTCCAAGACTAGAGCTTGATGGGAGCACTCATCGGAGCATGATTAGCCTCAAACGTGAAAGAACAGAGAAAAAGCTCCAGATGAATGTATATTTTTTGTCAGACCCTTCTATGACTTACATTGGACAACGGGAGATTTAAATAAAGGGAAGCCATTCAGCCAACATCGAGTAATGGAAATACGAGAGAAAACATCACCCGAGTACTGGAATTATTGCCCTGGAGATACCCCCCGGGGGTTGCCTCAGGAGAATTCCTGGGAAGTACTGGTTAGGATCTGTACCTAGGCAGTCTCAACCACGAGGGTATACAAACAGTCTTCATGAACTAGAACCCGAGTATTGTGCTCAGGTAGGTTCAGGCTTGGCAGGGACAGTACTGGTACTGTCGTGTCTGTTCCTTCGGCTGTGGTGGAGCTATATGGTTCGTAGATATAAGTGGCCTTCTCGATGGATGTTCAGCCCTCAGAGTCCCAGTGACGGGGACTGACATGGTAAGGCAGGGCACCAAGCGACGAACGGCGCTGAGGGAGTGGTGCCCCGAAGCAATGGTAGTCATAGCATTTTTTCTCATCATAGTGATTTTCTTCTTCTTCGTCCTGCCAAGCCTGTGAATAAACCCGGGCAGGGACTGTGGGGCCTGCGCCGTCACTGAGGGGTCCACCGTGGCTCGGATTTTTCAACCTTGTATGGCAGTTTCACTACTCCGGAACGAGGGTCCTGGTCATGGTGTTCTGCCCTGGAGATAAAAATCCGGCTCACCAGAGGAACGAAGACAAATTCCACGAAAGGAATAACGTTAGCTGAACTACGAAATAGTGACATGTGGTGACATGGATCTAAGTGGCTATTTCAGAGCATCGATTCGTGACCTAAACTTGCAGAATCAGTAGAAAATTTCAAAGATAATGAAGAGCTTGAACTTCAAAAGGGAGCTGTGGTGAACTCAACAGTTATAGGTGAAAATTCCGTTGAGAACGAATTCATTAAAAGGTATTCATCATTTAGCAAATTGATTAGATCTATTGCATGGTGTTTACGGTTTGTGAACAACTGTAGAACTAATCCACCATTAAGGACAGAAAGATTTTGAGTGCTTCCGAATTACAGAATGCAACAAAGGTGCTAGTCAAATGTGTACAACATTCTGAATTTCAACCTGAAATTAAGTTTCTGCAGTCGAAACGATCAGTTCCAAGTAATAGTAAGGTTTTATCCTTAAATGTATTTCTTCATGAAAATAAAACTTTTACAAGTTGGTGGGAGATTGAGTCTCTCCAATCTTTTAGAAGTCCAGAAACAGCAACTTCTTTTACCCCAAAGACATCATTTCACTGAATTACTCATTATTATCATAAAAAGATCTTTTCATTTGGGAGTTCAAACAACACTTTCTCTTATTAGACAATTATCCTGGATACCTTCCGAAGAAGATAGAATTAGACATATTATAAATAAATGCATTACTTGCTTTCGGACAAGAAACCAAACCACAAACCAAAATGATGGGAGACTTACCTAGAGGTAGAGTTGTAATAACTATACCATTCGAAAAAATAGGACTGAACTTTGCAGGTCCAGCTTAAGTACAAAGGCTATTCGTTTAGAAATAGTATCGGATATGTCTATTGAAGCATTTATAGCATGTCTTAGAAGGTTTATTGCCAGGCGATCCAAACCATCCATTGTTTCAAGTGATAATACTGCGAATTTCAAGAGAACAAAGAATATTCTTGATAAATTCCTTAGAATTTGTAGATCGGATCCTATTCAACGCTTTAGCTCCGAAGAAGGTAGAATATGGAAATTTATTCCTCCTTCTTCTCCGCATTTGGCGGAATATGGAAGGCTAATATAAAGTTAATGAAGATAATTTTGACAAAGGTCGCGAAAACAACAGTTTTAAACTTTGTAGGGTTTATATTTATTTTAACTAACATTTATTCTAAGTTTAAACTATCTTTCCTGTCAAGCCTTACTTTCCCCTGGAATTGCCAATGCCAGAGTATGTAAATTTTAGTAGAACGTGCAAAGTATTCAAAATTGTCAGCGGAAGTAATCTGAGTTAAATAGAAGGGAAACGAGTTCGAAAGTGTGCTTTCTTGCTTCACGAGCGTGGAGGTGGCTAGTTAGAAATTGAAGAACCACGCGTTTCGGCCTGTGTGCTTGCCTCGGCAGATAGTTAAATCTTCCAACCTAATATTCAGAAGTTTGCTGAATTGTCAGCGGTATCTTAGAACGCGGTTAGGTTAGTTACGTTTTAGAGAGCCTCGTAGGTAGTCACTTGTTATTATTCATTTTTAGTTTCTTATTTTTATTTTACCGCCGGGTCGGCGTAGTTTGTGAGCGTCAAGAGCACGCATCTGTAATTTCTAAAGTTGAATAAAAAGGGATTTAAACCCTTCTCAAGACTTTTGTGTAATTTCCAGTTCATAGCAGTC